TATGAATTACTGTTATGTTTGCACTCAAATTCAATTGTAGAACAAAGCTTTTACATTTCCTACCAAAAATATTGCCATTAAAAAAATTGATTGATTTTCTAATTTTCGAATCATTTACACAAAGAAGAAAAAAACAAAGCAGTTTGCGCCATCTGCCAAGTGATTAAGCATGCCAATCTTCCGGTTTCCAAGGCACATGCACACTTTGTCGGGCTTTTTAGAACTTTAAGACATAAATATATATGTATCAACAAACATACATTCATACATATGTACATATATGTGAATGTGATCGCTAGGCATTTGCGGTTTTACTGGCAATCTCTTTTCTACGAGTGCTCCCCTCGCTGTCTTGGAATTCGAAAATTCCTCCTTTTTATTGCTTTTTCGCTTCAATATATTTTTGGTTTTTCTAAATTTCATAATTTCATGCCTCTTTTTGTTAGATTTTCTATTTATATATATTTTTTTAATTCGATACACTTGACTCGATGGTTTTCTGCTTTGTTGTTAGTTAATTAAAAATTCGTGTTTTTCAAACCTTTTGAACTCACTTCTGAATTTGATTGATTTATATGTTATATGCTGCATTCTTATGCCATCACGCCACAGCTTTTCTTGTTTGAATTCTGGATTAGATCGCATTAAGACAAGAAACAAATCAGGTCGACTTACACACAGTTGTACTTATATTTGTTTTTATATGCATATGTGTCTATATAATTTAGCTAGCTTAGACAATATCACTCATTATTTCCAACATTTGGTTCTAATTAATTTGGAAAATTAAAAAAAAAAAAGATTATTTTAGTTACTATTGTGAATGGTAATTTGCATTGACAGAAAGACAGGAAGAACAAAAAAATAGATAACAGGATCAGTTGGAAAATGCATTATTTTCACTTAGAACTTAATTTTTGCTTATTATTCAATCTAAATTTACCGACGCAATACTTGAGGGTACTAAACATGGGTTCACACAAATGAGGGTTTCTGAAAAAGAGAGTAAGAACTTGTTTAAATTAGTTAATAAGAGATATTGAATTTCTTAAAAACTTCGGAAAATATTTTTTTTAAATTACGATATCGGTAATACTTCCAAAATTGTTTTAAAACTAAATGACATTAGAAGGAACATACAAAATTCTGGTAGATTTGTCTTTTTCCGCTTACTGTCGCTTTAATTGAGACGACAGGAAAGGGGAAGAGACGTATTCACTTAGAATTTAAACAACGATGTTTTTGTGAAAAAAGGAAACTGTCAAGAGATACTACAAATATTTGAAAACACGAACATTGTGAATGCAACTTCCTGGAAGAAGAACGACCATGAGCGATCAATCGACTTATAAAAATTATAATTTGTAGATTCGGCGTTTTAAGCATTTGTGAAATATAAATTTGATTTCAATACAGAAAAATCTCAATTTTACAAATACATATGTATGTACATACACATACATAAATATTATGTATTTGTGTGTAGTATGAACATATAAATTACTTTATTGCTGTGCATTTGCTGCTCGACTGTGTTTAATGAGTAAGCGCAACTAAAATAAACAATTTGGCAATTGGAAAGAATAATAAAACATTGGCAATTGAAATGAAACAGAACCATTTTATTAGAAAAATCCAGAAAAATCGATCTCATTTCGAAAATGTATAACTAACCACCAAAGCATGCAATGTGGGAGCCGAGCGTGGAAGATGGAGAAAAACAACTGGGCTGTGCTATATTTGATTCGGTTGAATAAAACTGAATTTCTTAACGCGAAATGTGTTACAAAATCATTTGTAATTAACGATTGAAATTTTATTACGAAATATGTATATGAGTAACTATTTTGATCAGATAAGAATGAATTTTCCTTACTTATGCTGAATGCCATTAAGGCTTATACATACATATATAATAATTCTTTGCAGAAGTTCATAAAAAAATTTGAAGTATGTAGAAATATAAATAAATTAAGGGAAAAAAAATAATTATTTTATTTGAACACAACAACACTAAAACAAACTTTTACAAGACACATACATACGTTTATGTGTTTAAAAGTGGAAAATAAAAAAAAATAAAATTTAACTCTAGATTTTCGCCCACAATTTTGCCAAATTCAAATTCGGTTTTAATTTTTTTAAGATTGCCACAGTTTTTAAAAGCTTGGCACCACAACCCTCCATTGTTTGTCCAAAATAAAAAAGGGGAACAATTCAGATTCTCTGATGACTAGCAAAAATAATTTCGAAAGTGATGTGAGAACAACTTGCCATCAAATACATGCTCACATGTGTGTGTGTCCATAAGAGTATATATGTATGTACCAAACCAATATGTTCATATGCACATGAACAAATTTCATTATATTTATATGCAAAAATTAAATGAAAAAAAAAAAATATTGAAAATAAAGAATCGAAAATCAAAATTATTATAGTCATACATGCTTGCAGCAGTATATTGGCAGCGTTGGGCGTTGTTTTTGGCGAAAACTCGTAGCTTTCCTGCTGTTTGCTTCTTTTGCCGTTTTCGCGCTTCCAATACACGTCCGATGCCGTTTTGGACGAGTGCCAAATAATAAAATGTTGCGATTATACTATAGCTGGGCACATAGCTACTTACATGCATACACATACATATATACATTCATATGGTTATGGCGTACATTTATGCTTTGGATATATATTTGTACTAAATAAGTATGTATGCATACAAATGAAAGCTCTGGCCATCGGCAGGCAGCCGGTTGGCCGAGTGTTGCTACTGAGATAAATTGCGAGGAAATTTGGAAATCATCAGCGCGTTGGTTAAACGTAAACAAACTCTTTGTTTTGTCTTTGGGGGGAAACTTTTGAAATATACATTTAATGCAAAAAATTATAAATTTCTTTAAGTGGTCATTTGAGTTAGTGAAGGTGTGATATTGAACACTTTTTCGCCTTCACATCCCGAAAGATGGACAGCCGACTAGAAATTCTTGGAATTATGCTATTCGAAATTTCTGTCCAACGACTGTTGAGATGAGTACCTCAAATTTCCATTGCTAACAGTCTTTCCGGTGTTGTTATCCAATACGTGCAATTGACGCCAAGAACAAAACCAAAAAATTAGTACAAAAAGCACGTTCCTGAGCTAATTCCACTTCGCCTATCGAGCACAACAATAACATTTATAAAATATTTACTATATTAAAATATAATATTATGATCGGCATGGAATGGCGTGCTGTACAACAACAAAAAACACGACTAATAGAAATGCAACGCATGCACTTGACGCAAATTGCTTCCCGCAGCCCTCGGCGGACGGTGAACGCTGAAGACGAAAACACTGCTCTGGAACGCCGCTGATTGTTTTATTGAGGTTGAGTGCACAGCCTTCGGAGCGAAATGCCAAAAATAGCAGCAACAAGAGAAGGCACAACAGCAACAACAAGTCATTTCGAATCGATAGGGCATTTAGCTGACTGCCGCCACTGCCTAACTGACTGACTGACTGCCTGACTGCCTGACTGCCTGACTGTTTGACTCTTTGGCTGGTTGGTTGCTGCCGGCACATTCGATTCGGTGTCCAAAAATAGACTGCCTAAATATTAAGGCAGCAAAAAGACGGAAATCGAAGTCAAAAAAGATGAACAAAATTACGGAGGGGTGAAGTAAAGCAGTGAATTTTATATAAACAATGCAGAATTTTAATAAAACAAGGCAAAAACAACAACAGCGGAACAAAAAAAAAATATTCAGATTCTGGCGTAGCTATGACCATATACATACAATCCTATTCGAAGAAAGACACACACATACGTGTATAGTACATGTGCATTAGTTAATGTTTAAAGTATTTATTGGCATGAAGAATTTTAGCTAAACAAATCAAAAATGATTTTTCATGTACCACAAGTATTTACTTAAAAAGGCGTGCAAAGGAAATTGTTTATTTAATTATTTTAAACAAAGAAAAATTTTCAATTGAAAAAATATTCAGGGGATGGTGGAAGCACTCGTTGTCTGATATACATACTTACATACATGTTGTATTTGCATATGTATTGTACATACTAATATGCATACACCAATTTTAATATAAAAATTAATTAAAGATACTAAGTACATACATATATTAGTACAAAAAAACTTGAAATATGTTTAAAAAAAAAATATATATATATAGCGCATTCGATACTATTATTAATGTAAAAGAAAGTGGCCAAATAATGCCCATCTATCTTCTGCAATTGAGCACAAATCTCAACTTCCGCGAAATTGCTTGGAATTTAAATTCCGACAGTTTTTTACTGTGAATGATTAACTAGTTAAACAAGAAGAAGCTAATACCAAATACATTTTATTAATAAGAAAGAAAAATATTAAACGAAATGTGAAAGATTCAGGTAAAACCAAATAAGCGCTACCGGAGGCAATGTTTGAGCAGATCGAAAAATGATCAGGAGGTCAGTTGGCTGAGAAAAATAGCCATCAGGGAAAATGCTGCACATATCAGCGCCCAAAGTTATGCGATTAAAATCAAGAAAATAAAAGCCTTCGCAATTTTTTTGTGCCAGAGGGACAATTATTCATTCAGCTTTTATGTACATTCAATTGAACTGTTTCACACAATGCGATCTTTGAATTGAATACTTGTGTATGATATATAAGAAAAAATTCAAATCGTTTTTAAGCAATGTGTTGAGGGCTGGTCGGCAAGCCTTAATCTGGCGTTACAAAAGTATTATAGCATGGAAAATCTATTAACTCGCAGCGATGGTATCCTGTGCCGGAGTTGGGTATACAGTTCCCAAATTTCAGTAGAAAACAGCAAAAATTCTTCTGGTGCGGATAATTTACGCATCACAATACTTTATTGCATTCTGTCAGATTTAAGTGCTAAAAAAAATTGAAATTTACATTTCACGAAATCAATTATAATTTAAGAGACTTTATTAACAAAAAAATTAGCGAAACACATTTCTTCGTATTTAATATTCAAACTTACATACATACATACATGCATACATATGTACATATATGAAATATTTAGTCACTGCTCACTGAGAGTTCACAAAGAGTTCAATTCGCAAAACAAAAGAAGAAGAAATGGAGCCAGTAAGATTCGCAATCACTAATACACACACACACACACGCACACGCACACGCACACGCATGCACGGTTGCGCGACTCAGCGCCGGTGGATCGGTTTTGGTGCTTCTTTTCCATTCTGCTCTTCATTTGTTTTTTGTTTCTGCTGATTGTTCTGCGGCTGATTTTGATTGCGTATGACTCTTCTGCACTGTTACGCGCGGAGATGCGTCAATTACGCCACACTGAAAAGTAATTTTCCAAATTATTTTCGATTTGTTTGAAAGTTTGTCAGTTTGGTACGATTGGAAACACATGTAACGGTATCTGTTGAAACTTTGGCAGATACCACATACGAGTATAGACATATTTATATGCTCATACATACAAACATACATAAAAACATATGTAAGCATGATACTGCACACACTGATTTCTATTCATCATGGCGTAATGTATCAATTAAATTTTAAAGAAGAAGACGTTGGATTTCTCTTTCTCTCATTTTCGCTAAAAAGGAGTAAGAAGACTCAGGCAATAGGAGCGGAATGTAGTTGTCTGATTTTTGAGTGAGATCAGACAGAAAGAAGCCATTTCTGGTCCACTAGTTATTGAACTCTGTTTATATTCCCATTTCCAGAGGCGCCTCCATTCTCAAAGATAGACAGCTGTTTGTTGAATGCTGGTGCTCTGGGGTAATTCATTGGCAGTGACACATCAAACAAATCATTTGAAACTTTCTCTCAGTGCATAATTTGGCCAAATTACACAAAGCAGTCTAAAGACTTGGGCAAGAAATGCATTTAAGTACAATCAAAAGGTTTTCAAGTGTCACTGTGAGGGCTAAAAATAAAACCGATTGTTTTTTGTGAAGATGAAGAAGAAGACTTTTGCATTTCATTTCCAAAATTTTGTGAGTATAAAAATTGCGTAAGACCCAAGCAGGAGCATATTCGCCAAGTTCAAGTCAAGCGCGCTACAACGACGACGGGAAGTATAACCGATGATGTATCGCTATGTTAGTAAACAATTTCCGAGCAAAGCTTCGAAATTCTTAAGATTAATTAAAAAAAAAATAATTTTAAAAATGCTTTTATCTGCAGATCTGCTTTGCTGCTATTCTCATTTGCGTCTGGGCCGCGCCCGTAGATGAACAAGTAATGGTCGTGACCGAGGAACCCGTTATGGAGTTGCGTGCGCCACCGATCGAACATGTACTGCCGCCAATGATCGTGCCTGAGATGCAAACCCGTGCGCCGGTTGTTGGCATTATGGACGCCGGCCTGCAACAGTCTACCGATGGCGCTTATAACTTCCACTATCGTGGTGAAGACGGCTCCTACCGTCAGGAGAGTGCGGTGGTCGTCAATCCAGGCACTGAATATCAGTATTTGAAAATAACTGGCTCTTACTCGTACTTCGATGCCAATGGCAAGGAAGTGGTGGTGCACTACAATGCCGACGATCGTGGCTTTGTGCCGGAGGGCAATAATATTATGCAACAGATTTCCACCGCGGCGAAGATGAACAGCCAGCTGCCACGAGTGGAGGAGAAGCCGAGGCCACCACCATCGCACGTGCCGGTTGTCGGTGGCGGTGTGTGGGCTAGTCAAATGGTGCAGGTGTAGACGTTGAGGAGATCGGCAAATGTATAGAAACTTATTGGCGTCACTTGAGCGTTTAAATCGTTTGCAGAATAGCGATTTTTTATTTTTTTACTACATTTTTATTTCAATTAAATTTTTTTATTTAATTCTTTTAATTTTTTTTTAAATTATTAGCTTTTTCTAATATTTCCAGTACTTTTAATTTAATAGTTTTTGTAATTATGCATCTTTATTTGCTGCAAATGAGAATAAAAAGACTTTTCACATAAGCACATGCCTTTTAGTTCACGTCTATTGCATACTTTTAGGCACACACTTTGAGGGCAATTAAATTTGTTAGGAGACCAGAGAACTTCAGTAATAATATTATATAATTATTTTCATTAAAATTCTCTTCACTTAAATTCTTTTAATACAATCGATTGTTTGTTTCTTTTATTTTTATTTTCTGCTTTAACCAACAAAAATAAAAAATTGAGAAGGGTATTTTCTCCATTATTATTTTAATTTATTAAATTTACAGTACGAAAAATTGCAGTAAACTAAATAATAATATACATACAAGAGTGTTTAAAAATTTCGCTATAAACTACAAATACATACATTTATTCATATATATCTATTATATATATATATTTATATGTGAATAAAATAAGTTCAAGAAAGGCAGGAAGGCAGCTTACTGAACAGTTCGAAAGAAAACATCTAAAAAGTACAAAGGATACTATATATTACTAAATTACCGTGATTAGCTATGAACAATATCGTGACATGAATTGTATTCTGGAAGAACAAATTTTTGAATTTTCTCTATTTTTTCAGCTTCTAAACTTTAAAATATTCCTAATTTAAACACATAACATAACCAGTTTTAAAATATGTGTGCATACATTTTCCCTTAAATTTCTTAAATAACTCTTTAATCTCAAAATGGTTTTTTTAACAAAAACGGTTGATTTCTTTTACTTTGATAACTTTTTCCGAAATTACTTCTTGGCAGCGCCCAGACTGCCGCCGATGCCGTTGCCGATGCCCAGACTCGTGTTCAATAAGTGAGCGCCACCTGGCGGCGGTGAGCTGAGTTGCTGCCTGAAATTGCCTACCCCCATGGGCTTACGCTGTTTAATGCGTTGTTGTAGCGTGTGCAAGAGACCCGAGAGCACATCGTGATTGGGTACCTTTTTGGCGAAGAGCAAACGCTTAACAGAGTCGTCGTAAGTGAGGAGAGCGACCATATTTTGCAGCAGAAAGCCCTGACAGTACTCGAGCAGCTTATTGGCGTTGTAGACCTTTGAGAAGTTTAAACAATTTTATGAATTAAACATGATTGCAGACCATACGGTTATTCGCCCTACCTTGGCGTGAATATACATAGCCACCACATTGTCTATATCGATCATTTCAGAACAGCGTGATTCGGTATAGCGCAAGAGACCTTCCAGTTGGAAGAAGCTCGCAGCCGCCATCAGCTCCAAAACATCGGAATTGCTAACCTCGAGGGTGGCACAACCACCGCTGTAGAGATAGTGCATGACCAGCTGAAAGATGTGATAGCGTATGTCGTTAATTTGGACGGTCGGCGTATTCCCCTCACTCAGCTTGGAACTGAGCATGCTTTGGAAACGCGGCGAGGCGGTGACGAGCACGATTTTATGGCCGTAGAAGATCTTGCCCTCCACTCTGTTAAACGGAGCGGTGTTAATAAGAACAAATTTGTGTATATTCGACCTTCGAACTTACCTGAAAGTCACATCACTCAGTTCTGGGTTATTAACGAATTTCGGATCGATGCGTGAGCTATTCACCGATTGCAGCGCCACCTCTTTGATTGGTTTAATGGTCTCCCAGCCAAAGCAGGTTGCAAAAATATCGGCTAACAGCAACGTTGTGCCCTCATTTTTGCTGTAGCGGAAAATATTGAAGAGCAGCGGCAGACATTCGCTCACGAACTGTGCACTGTAGTCGTCAGGACAAACCTGCAGAAAGTCTTGGAGCAGCTGGTCGATTACGGCGTCCAAGCGCAGCTCATGCGCCGCAGCCAAAGCGTGCATCCAGCAATGCAGGGTCCAGGGCACGCCCAAGGTGCGGAGTTCTATTGTTATATCTGTGCGGAGAAATAAATTATTATTGTATTTTCCTCAATTGGGGTTATGTGTAGCAATTACTTACCCAAGTGATTATTCTCAGCGCTGTGATACATCGCTTCTTGCAGACTCTTAATTTGCGCTTTGTTTAGCGTGGGGGGTAGCTCGGCACTAATACGTTCACTAGCCGAATTACCAGCGCACGCCCCACCTCGAACCGCATTGCCTACCGGCTCGCCTTCTGCCAGCATCTCTTCGAGCGAGAGCACGTCTTTGTTACCTGGTGACATCGGGTGCGAAAGCAGCTTTCGTAGACAGACACGTTGTCCATGCGCTGCAGCGACCGAGATGGCGCAGTAAGAGCCGCGTTGTGCTGAGCCGCCTGCGAAGCACATAGTATCCTTTTGTTGCGTTGAGAGGAATGCGTTGGCGCCATGCGCTAGTAGTAGCGAAATAACCTCGACATTACCTGAACCGCATGCCACCTGCAGTGGTGTTAGAGTCGTCTTCTCCTCGCTCAAACGTGCGCCACCTTCAACTTTGCCGCCACGCTCCAGCAACAGGCGTAGAGCTAAGTAATTGGCACGACTCGCGGCGAAGGTCACGGCAGTCCAGTGCTGGGTGTCCGGCTGTATGCCTGGGTAGTTGGATTGTGAGACTGGCGGCACTTCCACGTTCGGGTCGCAGCCGGCGTCAAGTAAAGCCTGTATGGCCACCTCATCGTTGCGTATAGCAGCGATCATCAACGCTGACAGTCCAGCGTGGTTGAGGGTGTCGTAGCGTGTTGTGGGCGGCAATAAATTGGCTGCTTGTGCCAAAAGCTCAGCGCGCCCCGTCAACATGAGCTTAAAGGCCAAAGTAGTGGTTGCGCGTTTGCCCAATTCTGTGGTGTCTTCATTGATGCTTGATGCAATGGGTGTAGTGGCGCCAGGATGCGAGAAGTGCGTCTTTTTCGTTGGCAGTTCCTCGTCGTGACCAATCGGACGCATGGGACAGTCGACACCAGGCAACAGCAGGCGCGCCGCTTGCATGATATCATCTTTGTCAATCATAGCGGCGTGTCGGTATTCGGCGTGTGCAGAGGCGACGCGCAGCCACTCGACCAGTGGTGGCAGCACGACATATGCGCGTTCGTAACACAGCTCCTGCACATTCTGACTGCTGCCACCAGCACTGCCATTGACGCTCGATGGCGTGCCACTCGAATCGCTGTGCTCCAGCTGTGAACAACGCATGAAGTAGAAGAGCGTGGAGAGCGCAGCGTTAGAGAGCGCGGTGTGTTGGAACTTTTGTTGAGCGCGCTGTGTCAAGTCCTTTAGCTCGCTTATGCTGCCAACACAAGTTGTTAGTAGGCAGGGCTCAAGAGATATATTGCTATTGCCGCCGGAGCTGCCGCTTTTTTGGGTGCCCGAGCCTAGTGATGATAGGCTAGCCCAGCGAGGCATAGTCAGCGCGCCTGAAGCTACCCGACCTGCGTTCAAATGTGCAAATGGCTGCAGCAGACCCCAGAGGTCGCCGGAATGCGCAATGGATTGATCCAGTACAGCTGTGGTAAATTGACTTGCTGAATCTGCAGGAAAACTCTGTAGTAGCAACTCCTCCAGCAGATTCTCCATGCCAGCGCAGAGGTACACCGCCGCATACTCGTGTATAAATTTCCCCAGACGTGCATCGGCCATCCATCGATGAAAGCGTCCAACTGGTAGCTGTAGACCCGCACGGGCCGATTTACTTTGCTTCAAAGCACTGTCGCCGGTAACAGCAAACATCGCGGCGGCGCGCAGGCAAGCCTTAATACATGAGTCTGCCAACGCTGGACACAATACGATTTTATAGGCTGCGGCTACCTCCTGTTTTGAACACAAACCCAGACTGGCGGACAAGCGTTGTATTTCTCGAGCGACGCGCACCAAAGCGCGCTGCAACAGATAACCCAAACGCGGTATGGTATCGACAGAAACGCGGTCAGCCTGCTCCTTGCAACGACCGTTACGTATGACGCGCATGATACAGTGTTGACTCCAAGGCGGATGCTGCAGCTCGACAAGCCGGTTGTGTGAGTCCACCCACACAAATTCGTCGGCGTTCGTTACATTTGTGTTGACAGTCTCCAGTGAAGAGTAACGACCCAAACGACGCGCGGGCTCCGAGCTCTCCGAACCAGCGCTTAGACTGCTGTAGGTGCTAGTGCTCGTTTGCGAACGCATTGTCAGCTGCTGTATGGCCAATTTGATATCCTCTAAACCACTGCCACTCCATGGCGCTTTGGCAGCAGGTGTAGCACGGTGGCGCGCGCGTGAATGGCTAGTACTCGTGCGCGAACGTGTGCTACGATTAGTGACGGCAGCCGCAAGTCGATCTTCCGGTAGCGGACCAAGCGCCACGCCGCCACCTGGTGAGGAGCTGCCGTGACCGCCCGTGTCCGACATGCTGGCATGACCCGAGGAGCGGTTCTCATCTGACGAGCTGTGACATTCCTGAACGCGTTGCAGCGCGCGAAATTCATGATGATGCGTGCGTGTGCTTGTCGCATTGGACGCTGCGTGTGTATTGAGCTGGTAGCTACCGCTGGATGGTGTCGCATTCGCGGACGCTGCCTCCGCAGTCGGAATGCCTATACTACAGTTGCTCAAGTCCAGCGTAAGAGGCAGCGGCCGCTTGTCATTAGACTTCTGTTGCGATACGACCACCTGTTGCGGCTGTAGATGCTGTGCCGACAGGTTGCCGCTGATCATTGCCGGCTGTGACTTAACAGGCGTGCTTTGCGCAGTTAAACGTGTAGGCGCTGCCAAAGCACGTTGAGGCATCGGCTTACTCGGCGCTTGCGGCGGACTGCTCATGTTACGTATATTGATCGTTGTATTTGGTACAATACTGTTGTGGGGCGATGGCGAACCGACCACCATTGTGGGAGCGCCACTAACGCTGCCACTATTCAAACGTTGCGCGACCTCTTTGGAGATGCGTGGCGCAGGCGTAGCCACGGCAGGATTATGTACGCGACCAGTAGAGGAACTCAAACCATTTGAAGCGGGATTGAGTGGCGCGGAGTTGGCAGTCATTGTGGTACCGGTAGAGGGCGATGTTGTAGGCACCACGCACATTTGGTTCTGGTTGATAGGTAAGCCCGTGGTAGTGTTGGCCGAGATGACGGGACAGTGCAGTTGTGAGTTCATTGGTTGTGGACTAAAGACGAGGTTGTTGTCGCCGCGCATGTTGCCCGTGGGTCTGTGAAAAAAGCGGAAAAGAACGATTTATTTAGATAATAAGAATGAAGGTGTGCTGGAGAGGGAAATAAGGAAGAGAGGAAGAAACAGTTGACATTTGATGGTGCTTAAGTTGTACACGCATCAAGCGTCAAATACTTAAGCGGCTTTCATTCTCGTGAAATACTAACACAGTCAAGCGACTTAGCAAAGCGAGCGGTGCACAACAACAATGGTGAAATTTTTCTAAAACCAAAACGCAAAGATAATGTTTATGTTTCTCAAGAACTGGTTCCTATGTTTAAACACTTTCTTTTCCTTCTTTCCTCCCCGCCCACTTCAGACTTGACTTTTAGGCATCGCACTGGGCGTCTCTCCAGTGTTAGACGTCAGTCATCACCTTGAGCGCTGGGCTTATGCTGTCACTCAATTACCGCTAATCCGTTGCGAAAATTTCTGTCCACTCAGAATTGGAACAAGCGTTATGCTTTTAATTATAAGTGGATTCGAGACAAGCGCATTCTTTTATTTTGAAATAAATCGCCTTAAAAGAACTTTTTCTCAAAACAAAGAGAAACATGGAAGAACAACAATAACAAAACAATTTGCATGAGAATATAAATAGCGGGAGAATAAATTTAATGAATAAATGAAAAAAAAAAATTGACAAAAAGCAACAAAAAAGAAGAATTTCATGTGATTTACTTATGGATAAATGTCATAACTGTTTAAGCCCAGCGCACCGGGGCCGGACGTGCTCAATGACGCTGACAATGAAAAATAAAATTATGTCATTTGTTGTTGTTGCTCATGAGAGAACAATCTCATTTGCATTTGAATTGATTTAGAAGCAACAACAGCAGTCGACCAAAAGTCAAAGGGGAAATAATGAAAACACAAAAACTAAAGCCAAAAAGTTTTAAAATTTAAGCAGCGCAGCGCAAGCGCCTAGACGAATCTACATCGTAGTGGCAATGTGTTGTTGTAGCTTATATGTTTCTTATTGTTGTTAGTTGCTGTAATCAAACACATTTCCATACACAGATTCTAGAGGAAGACAATTGAATTAAATTTACTGCTCGCTTCTAGAACCAATGTTTAAGAATTTATTGCGTCTTTTTATTTCATTATTATTTTTTTTAAGAATTATTTTCTTCTCCCGCTGTTGGCACACTTCCTTTGTTTCATTTTGGATATTTTTCAGGTAAGTTTTTTTTTCGGAAGAAATTGGGTCGAAAGTTGGAATTTGTAAACAAACTTAAAAATTTATTTAATTTGAGTTTATTTTGAATTGATGAAAAAATGGCATGAAAACTTTAAAAAGCTCTAAGAAAGTTTCGAAAAAGCTCATATAGAAAAGAAGAACAATTTGTTTGTTACACCAAAACTTACGGCAGAGATTTAACTAAACAAAAAGCAAAAAATTTTATTTTTTAGGAAGTTTTAACACGGAGAGCTCTCAAAAAATATGATTTAGAAACAAGCTTTTCTACTAACTTGCTCTCATGAAGAGTTAACGATAGAAGTTACTCGTCCTTGAGAGAGGCAGAAATATCTGATGCGATTGCCTAGAGTGCCATCTGCATTCCTATCTATACTTAAAATAAAATTTTCGAAATAGCTGGGTCCGAGTGAACGAGTTGCCGATATGCAAGATCGTGTGCAAGAGCAGCAAAACAAAGACTCATTCTTCTTGCTTACACGTTGATGTAATAACTGCAGTCAGTTGTGGGCCTAATGCAGGCCTTTTACGCATCATTAGCTTTACAAAACTTTATTATAAAACAGCATTAGGTAAGTGGTTATGTAATGCATTCTACTATAAACTATAATTTTACAATCAAAATTAGCTTACCACTTATGCATGTATGTACGTGAGTTCAATTTATAAATAATTTTAATAAAAATCAAAATTTAAATTCACCTTGAAAGCGAACCGAAAGTTTTTCCATCAAAGGGAAGTTGACTGTCAAAAAGTAAAAACGAAATGTTCGCTAATCAGCGATCGCCGAGTGGAAAGAAAAGACCTTCGCCAAATCGCGTGAATATCTTCATCACTCTGATTATTTTGTGTAACAGACAAAGGGAGGGGGGGGTTTTTCGTTTGTGTAGTAAATAGGCAAAAGCGAATATTTGCTGAACGTGATTCGTACATTTGCAGTTAGTTTGCAATAACAATAACGGACGACACGAAAGTGTTGAATCGATAAAGAATGAAATAAAAATAAAATTTTATATAAAATTAAAAAAAAATCAGAGATCTGTTTTCATGTTAATTATTAAGTTGAAGAAGATCTCTTTCTTGTTTGGGGGTTATTTTTTAATTTAATTTATTGAATTTTCGATGATTGTTGGACGACGGCTGTGTGAAGAGTAATTAGCTGCTGAATGTGTGAAAATGTTCAAAGTAAAGATATTGAAGATTGAAGCTCGAAGGCAGAGTTGGTGGTAGTTTCTTTTCACTAAACTCACCTCTTGAGCTCTGTTCCAAGCTTAACGAGCTTTTCAGTGTTATTCGAGCCGAAATTTGAGTAATCACGAAGGCCAAATATATCTCATTCAAGGAGCAGCTAGGCCAACAAATTAAGATATTTGGATTGCTTACCACAAATTTGAAAATTGTGTGGGATTCACATGCAGTAAATCTAGATAAACCGAACGCTTCTCCAGTAATCAGTTCATTTCCCTTAAAATCCGTTTTCGATTCTCGTCGTCGTCCTTTGTTTTCATTAATCGTTGGAACATTAATCCATCACCCCCATTTTTGATGGCCAGGAAAAAAAAATTATGTAAAAACTAATGGACTCTTATGGAAAACTTTTCGAAAAAGTAGTCAAGGAAAAACTGTTTTTAACTCTTAAAGTTGAAGGGATAGGGCTAATCATAAACACGGGCTTGCCATTTTCATTGTTGCATTTCATCCTATAAGAAGGAATATCAAGTTGAAGCCTTCAAAGCTGCCTCGCGTAACGTTTTATTACGAAAGCTTAATTGGCCAGGGCTTGGGTTAGATCATACTCATACATCTGCAATAGATTCTCTGTGATACTTGAAGGTAGCATTGCTGGAACTCTATTATTTATCACTTCGTCTGCTTGTAAATGATATTGGAACTTTCTTTGAACATGTAAACCTTTTGCTTTATGCAGATGAATTAAGACTTTTTGGATGTAGCAGTTGTACTTCTGATGACTTACCGTTACAGGAGGTTTTTACAATACAGTTAGCCTAAGCATTAGGAACAGTTTGCCCTTTGATATGAAAAAGTGCTCCAATGTGATCTTTTCAAAGTCCACAAACGTGCTCAAGTCAACTTGAGATATAAATTCTTATATATATAACAGAAGAAAAATACACCAGCAAAATCATGAGACATACGTTTATATATGTATAAGTGAATGAACAATATTTATTACAGCTTTCATAGCTGAGATACCGAAATAGAACAAACGAATAATAAAATCGATTAAAGCAGACAAACGAAGGCAGTGGGCAGCCAGGCTCAAGGTTACTCAAATGAAAGAAAAAAAATAAAATAAATAATAAAATAATATAAATAAATAATAAAAAAACCAAAAAGTATATTTAATAAAAAAATAAAAAAAAAAAAACCATGAGCGGCTACTCTAGGAACAGTTAAAATTTGCCAACAACTGCAATTTATTATATGCGAAACAAATAAATTTTTACTTACAAAAACCATACTTCGAACAGCTTAATTAACTAACCGCAGCTGAGCTGCAAACAGAAATAAAAACCAACAACAATCACTGCAGAGTTTTTATAATTTTAACTTTTGATAAATTGAGCCATTCAAATGCATAAATTTGCAAAGCGAATGCGCAACAGCAAAAACAACGAAATGCATTAATACGCTGGGAATGGTCGGCGATTAAATTTGGGCGAGCGAGCTACTCGTTACTCGCAGGTAATAGGCGTACTTGAGCGGGGACGTATACGTAACCTCAAATTAGATCGTTTGCCAACACAAGTAATTGTATATTTATAACGGACTGCGGAGAAAAAAAGTTGTTGTTGAATTGTGTTTTCGCGCAAAAAATAACTGCAATGGAGCTGAGGTCAGTGGCGACATACGTTTTGCTGTTGCGCGTAATTTGATGCGAAAAAGTGTGAAATCATAATCAAATTACAATACTAACAATCACTTATAAAAGAATAATATTAAATACATACTTTTATATGCATACATACATTTAAAAAAAGAATAATAAAAGAACATTTCAAAAATTTTATACAATTCAAGCCATACCGTGCACGCCACTCCTGCACAAAACTCCAATCGCACGAGTCACACGACTGCTGACTGACGCTCTCCTCAGCGTCACCCAGCAACTGGACAGTGGCCCGCGTCGGCTTGGCCACCGTCTCCACCAAAGCACTCGCACGCTGATAATTGCCCTCGATTTTAATATTTATCACACCGTTCTGTATGCTCTCTATGTAGGAGGGTAAGTCCTCATCGCCAATGGGGGGCAAGCACTCGGTGCTGTCCTCGGCGCGCGCGGTGTCGTCCAACAACTGTGCCGCTTGCACTACATCCTTCGCTGTTTCGCCGATATTGTGTTTGCCCCGATTCGCTATTGAGTCGCCAAAATAGATGACCACCTTGTGATTGGGTTTTGGTGGCGCTTCCGGTCTATTAAAGCGCGGTTCATCGCCTTTACATTTTACTTGTTGATGTTGTTGTTGTTGTTCTTGTTGTTGCGGCAGTTGAGTGCAAGAATTTGGTGTTGCCGTTTCGGTTGCGCGTTGTTGAAACATTTCGCTGCATTTCAACGACTGGGGCTGAAAGGTTTTGAAAGAGTTGGCTGTGCTGCGTCGCCTCAATATAAAATTTTCGTTAAATCGTCCGAAGAGCGAGGTGGGCGGGCGTGGCGCGGGTCGTTTGGTTGGTTTGGCGGGCTTGTAATTATGCAGCTCGCGACACAAGCTGCAGCTGCAGTCTTTACCGCAATACATTTTCGATTGAAATTTGTAATTGTTTTCGTTATTGCCGTTTGT